TGGATGGTTTAAGAAAAAAAAAACGTGGAAAGAATTAAATGAACTGATGTGAAGTGAAATAAACAGAACAAGGAAAATATTACACATAGTAACAGAAATACTGTATGAGGATTAATTGTGAATGATATAGCTATTCTGATCAATACAATAATACAAGACAATTCTGAAGGACCGATGATGAAAAATGCTACCCACTCTCAGAAAGAGAACTGATAAAGTTTGAGCGCAGAGTGAAGCATAATTTTCTCACTTTATTTTTCTTGCCCTTTTTTTGGCAACATCCGTAACATGAAAAAGTTTTGCATTATTTTTCATGTATAATGGATATCATATTTCTTGCCTTCTCAATGGGTGGGGAAGGAAGAGAATTCAGAACTCAAAATTAAAAAAAAAAAGACAAAAATAAATACACTTAGTTAAAAAAACCAGAAGAGTGTGGAAGGAAGCTCAGAAAGAGACAAACAAGGAGGACAATATTAAAATTATGTTAAACTGTATGCTTTTTAAAAATTCAAGTTGTACAGAACTGAGATTCATAGCTTCAAGCAATTCTTTTGTTTCTTGTATATGGAAAATATATTACCATAAAATTACAATCTAAATGTAAGCATAAATTATATTTGATTTTTACTATTTACTCTCATTGTCTATTTTCCTTCTATCTATTTATCTATCTAAATGTCTACTACAGGTCCCTTCTCTGTGCACAAGTTTACCAGCCTCTGACAAGTTGGTAAGAATTTCAATAGGAAAACTGAAATGTTTAAAAAAAAAAATACCATTTTATGGGTTAGAAAACAGAGACTTGAAATGACTTGCCTGAAATGAAAAGAAATCAAGTCAAAAGGAGGATTAGAATTTGAACTCCCAATATTATTGTGGTTGTGCTACCATTACCATTACCAATACTAACAAATCCCTCATTAAGGTCTTACTCTGATGTCTCATTGTGGCATGAAGGGGAACTGGATTCCAAAAGGTGGGGCCAGCACAGAGCAAGCTATGGCAGGTTCTTCAAAGCTGGGAAGGCTTTGACTACAGAACAGATAGATTGTATGTCTGTTATCCAAGGACGAGGCTGGGTAAGTGTTGGAAGGGGATGAATTACTCTGGCCAAAGCAATTTAAAAATGTACAGTGGGCCTGCCATTTGTCTCAAGTAGGGCACTACCCTCTCCAAAGCCTGGGACTGCGTATCTAATATAACCACACCCACCCTTTCCCCCCAATAATCCCTTATACCGGCCCCACCCTCAGCCATGCAAATTCTTGTCCTCCACCCTCTGGAGCCAGGTATTGGCACCTCTGGATAATTATAATTCAAATTAAATGCTAATCTACAACAGCTGCACAGGTGTCATTGGGAAAATGAACTTTAACTCTTGATCCCCAGTTCGTTTGCAGTTGGGGGGAGCCTAACCTCCTCCCTTTTTTGATTCTGGGCAAGAAAGTCAATCACACGAGATGAGCAGAAACAGATGGACTATGATCTGGCTCAGATATATCAACATGTTATCTTTCCCCTCAAATCTACCCATTTTCCATATTTTCCTATCAGTATTGAAAATACCAACACCCTGAGCCACTCAAAGGTCTCACAACTTCAGGGACAAACGAGGCAATATTTGTAAAAGTGCTTTGTACACTGCCTGCTTATCCCCCTCCCCAGCTTTGCCTTACCTAAACCCAAATCTTCAGTTTTACTTCCTCCCCTCTCAATCTGTTCCCTTCTCTCTACTCAAACAGCAACCAGACCACTTCTATTTGGACTAGTTTGATAGCCTCCTAATTCGTATCTGTAGTAGGAGGAATAGCTACCAGAGCTCAGTTCCCTCATCCAACGTGTGGGCTGGGCTGGTTCTTTTGCTTACAAGGTACTGACACCATACTCAAAACTTAGCCTGGCCCAGGGGACTAAAGGCTCTGGGCATTGATCTGCAGCTAAGTCTCTCGATGCCTGCCTGATGGACCACCATGGACAATTCAGACAGCTGCACTCAGGTGAATATCCTTCTCCTGCTATGACTAAGTTAATCTCCTTTTGCGCATTGTTTAATGACCTACGAGTATTTCCTTTTGAGTCAACATTGGACCCACATTACCAATGAGCCAACAGTGTCAGGTTCAGCCCACAGCAATCTCACAACCTCAAGTCTCTCCATACTACCTATCCCCCAAAAACCTGACCAAATGATTTCCCTAAAGCTCAGGTCTGATCATGTCATTTACCCTTTCAAACTCTAGTGGCTCCCTATTGACTCTAGGATATATATTACTTCCTCTTTATCCCAGCCTTTTAAAACATCTATTTTGTGTAAGCTTTGTAATGTACACCATTAGGAGCACAGTAATACATCCAGATAATTTATAAATAGGAACACATCCCAATTCACATATTAGGGTGCCTGCTCAGAATTTTTTGCTGATCAAAAAAAGGTTTGTCACAGATGGGTTTAGGATTAAATAATGGATCCCAGAAATACTGCAACTGAAAAAAAGATCCCTGACATTTCCATAATGTTTTACAATTTTCAAAGCATTCTCACATTCCTCATCTCATCAGTTTTTCTGTGACTTAAGACCTGAAATGCTCAACTATCAAGTTTTCCAAATAACCTAAGGGGTCTAAGGGCCCCCAAAGAGAAAAAAGATTTAAGATACCACAATTTAGAAACTGAGACTTATCTCTTAAGCTCTAAATATTACGTATTTTTCACCTAGATACTGAATGTCAGAAATGAAACCAAACCTTACATAATGCAATGTTTAAATTAGTGATTTGGAAAGTGATATTGACGTTGTCACCACATAAGAGCAGTAATAACTTGAGTTAAAATTTATCACCTAATACCTAATACCAAGTGCACAAGTTGAAGTACTGAGTGAGTACAACTCAAAAGCTTTGCTGCAAAAAAGCTCCTCTACACAGGGTCCAGGCTCAGATATGGACCTCAACAAGAGTTGCTTTTCAGTCCCAGGGCCTTTCATTTCACCCATCTGGAGTTTCTCTTCTCAACACACAACTGGGCAGCAAGCTCTAAAGCTACAAAAGCCAACTCGGGTTCCTGTGCTTCCTGTGGGCTGTTTGATCCAAAAGGCTATTATGGGAAAAGTGACCGGTGAAAAACCTTGGGATTCCTTAATGTTTTTGCTAATAAAAAATACAGAACTACAAACAATCCAGCTTCAATTACTGCTGATGGGATGATCTGTAATCAGATTTTGAACAATTTTTTTGTACCTGTAGTCATGCTTCACCCCTTACTCTCCAGCCCTCCCCACCCATTCCCCACCTCTTTAGTTCTAGAACCAGGATCAAATTAACTCTGTTGTTCCTAGGTGGGGATATGTCAATCTACTTCCACATGATGGCGCTACTTACCAACTGACCTGTAACTTTCTAGATCAAAGTTCACTGACCCAGCTACTAGACATCAATTTGAGAAGAGGGAGAGGAGGAAGGGGGTGGGAGAAAGAGAGAATGGAGAGAGGGAGGGAAAGAAATGTAGCTCTCTCAGAATATTTCTCTTTAAATAGTGTGGCTAGCTGAGATCCTATCTTAGGATCACAAGACTTTCAGAGGTATAAGAACACTCAGATTATCAAATTCAACATCTTAATTTTACTGAGGAGTGAAGATTAAGTGACCTGCCTGAGAACACAATTAGTTGGAAAGCCAGAATCCAAACTCAACTTTTAAAATTCTGAACCAATGCACTTCCCAGTTTATTACTTTTGTTTCTGATGTTCCCTAAGGAGAGGAATAATCTTAAGAGCTACTTAGAGCAAGAAATTAATTAGCAGAGACAAAGTGATGTGATATGCATGCATGCAGAGGGCATTTTACACTAGGGTGTTCCAAAGGCTAAGGCCCCAGAAATGGAGATGCATGTGCTAAATAAAAAAGATTCAAAGGCCCCTTTTTTGCTTACTAAGCTTCCTCCAGTGAGTACCTCAAGAATCCTTCCTGACCTCCTCAATGAAAGAGCAACCCTAAGTTATCCTTGTAAAATAAGGTAGTGAGGAGAGGGCAATGAACATTTCTTACCCACTAGAGGCCTATCAAGTCCTGGCAAACACAGTCCCAAGAAACAACCTATTTAGAGATGCCTGCATATATGGTGTGTGGGACTGAGCTCCTAAGCAGGGACTGTCCCTTTCTCAAAGTAAAGGGTGAACTTGCAATTCAACAAGCTTTCGTAAGGATGGACTAGGCACTGTGGAATACGCAAAACATCAGAAATAGACCTTGCACTCAGATGACTGACAAGTTATTAGCTGACCAGACATATATGCAGCAACTTGCAAGGCCAAGTCTAAGTACCCAGATTTGGTCACTGGTGCTAGGCTAAAAGAACTTCATCGGTCCCGACTGGTGCCAAGGAAAAGTCAATCCCCTTGGAGTTTGCAGCCTGGCCTCAGAACTGTCTTCTAGCCGGCCTACTAGCCCTACCTTCTGCCCCCTTTCAATGGGGCTTCTACTTTCTCCCCTCCATGTCTTTGGTCACACTATCCCCCTCACCAAGACCATCTTTCCTTGTACTCTGTCTCTGTGCTTGCTGAACTCTCCCCTATCCTTCTGAGAAGGCATAGGCTGACACTCCTCCATCACCCTAATCACCCTTTGTATCCCCCTCAGAGCACACACAGCTCTCTGTTTAGCACTTTTCAAAAGAACTGCCATACTGGCAGGGCTGCTGTGAGGACTACCTCCATTCTGTGCTTGGGTCTGGATTATAAACTCCATTAGGGAAGGGACCCTCAAACTTTGTAGAAAAGTGCTGAAAGAATTTGTTTCTAACATTAAATTATATCAGCTTCATGAAAAGATATCTTTTTGTCCTTAGATGAAAGGTTAAAAAATTATAATTTTTACATGCTCTGGCATTTGAGGAGAAAAAAAAGCAGTCAGACTGAGAATTCCAGCAAGTGGACTTAATTAGGGGTGATGGGGTGGGAGGAAGAAAAAAAAAAATCCCTTCCCCCAATCTGGCCACTTACCTGCAGCAAGTAGGCGGAGTCGTAAACCTGAGGGTCCAGTTCCATCTCTCAAAACATCCACACTTTCTGCATATACATTTCCCAGGAAGCAGCTGAGAGGCATGCCCGGGGCTCTGAGGATCAGGAGCAGAATGAACAGCCTCTAAGCAATGGCTCTTATAGATGTACCTTTAGAGGCAACAAGGTGGTCCAGTGGACAGAGCTCTGGAGTCAGGAAGACGTGAATTCAAGTACAGCCTCAGACACTTATTAACTGGGTGACTCTGGGCAAGTCACTTAACGTATTTACCTCAGTTTCCTCAACCATAAAATGGGGATAACAACAGCACCTAGCTCCCAAGGTTGTTGTGAGCACTGAGATGTTTGTCAAGTGTTTAGCATGTTACATGGCACAGAACAGGCACTTAATAAATGCTTATTCCATCCTCTTCCCCATTTATTTACATGTCTCCCCCTTCAGTGTACAAGCTCTTTGAGGGCAGGGTCTTTTTTTGTGTTCTTGCTTTTATTTGTATTTCTAGGACTTAGCACAGTGCCTGGCACATGGTAATTGATCAATAAATGCTTGTCAACTGAATGGCTGATGTTGAAAGGATCACTTCACTTACTTAGGATCAAAGAAAGATACATGCACATATGACTGGTGAGAAAGCCCAAAACCACCTGTTGCACAGTAAGCTTTGGATTCACCACCAGATGGCAATGCCTAGGTACAGGCCAGGCCTTGAAACTTCTGGATTTGGGACAAGAGTAGCTCCCAGCCAAGTGGAAGTCCCAATGTTGTAAAGTACTTAGAAGTAGAAGGCTAACACAGCCAGGACTAGACAGCTTACATTTGCAAATCACTTCACAGTAACACAGTACTTCTATACCTATCATCTCATTTTACAGGACTTCAAAGGGATCTGCTGACTTGCCCAGGATTTTTCCAACTACCAGGTCAGATCTTAGGGACTAAAATGTCTTTCCCTCTACACAACCAAGCAAAAAGACAATAAGCACTGGTTACCCTCCAACACACTAGACTAGAGTTCCCCCTTTAATCTACGGATTAAAAAAATAACCCAGTATCCAAGTCCTTCCCAATTAGACACCAGGACAGGTCCTACCCTCCAGCCAAACTAGATCACTCTCTGACCTTAGTCATCCTTAAGATAATCAGAAAAGCATTTCCACTAGGAATGTATCACAGGCTATTAGAAGTTATTCTGAGGGGAATGACCCCCACTATACAAGTATAAGACTTGTTTTCCTTTTGGAACAGGACTACTTTCCTTCAAATGGCCCGAGTCCAGACAACTCATGTGGGCTGTTCTGATTTTTTGATCAGATTCAAATTGCTTTTCCTAACACGGTGAGTGTCAAGGACAGTTCTGGAAGGACAGCGGCTCAAGACTATTCTATACAAGCACATCCTGAAGATTCTTCCCAGTGCTTTGTCTTCCAAGGAAGAAAAGACTGTTTTTTATTTCTTTTAGCTATTCCCCTCCACCACTGTCTCCGCTATTTTCAGTTGCTTGTTTCACTTTTACCTTTTCTTCTAATTGTTTCTAAGGGGTTTTTGTAAGGGCTCAGGCCCTTAAAAGCACCAATGTAAATAATAATGATAATAATAATAATAATAATAACCACCAATGTAATATAGGAACTCTGTAAAATTTTGTTTCTTGTGGGGGTCAGCTCATGAGATAAACATGGTCTGTGTGTATATAAAGTTTTTTTGGGGGGGGTCCCTGAGTCACAGGTTTTTTCCGCTTTAAATATAAGACCCAAAACCCTACAATTTAAGCTATGTCAAATTTCATAAAATATGACAAGAATATGGATTGTTGGAGACTATTATAATAGTAAGGTCCTGAATTAGGGTGGTGAGAATACATAAAACAGGAGGGCTATGAGAGAGAAAGCAGAGAGAGAACTGACAGGATTTGGTACCTGAACAGATAGAGGGGGTTAAGGAGAGGCAGAGGTAGAGATTATGCTCTAATTTTGAAGCTAGGGGACCCGAGAGGGTAGGGGTGACATAAAGAGAAATACAGACGCTAAAGGTAAGGGTAGGTCTTTTGGGAAGAGAAAGATGAGTAGAATTCTCTGCCTGATGCATCTCCATCTCCAGCCTCAACTCTAGTGTCACTTCCTAAAAGTGGTCTTTCCCAATTTCCTCAATTAATGCTTTCTACTTTCCCCCAATATGGCTTTACTTTGAACATCCTTATCTGGGCATGTGCTGCTTTCTCCTAAATAAAAGGTAAATTCCCTGAGGGCAGAGGTTGTTTCGTTTCAGTCTTTGTGTCTCCAGCATCTAGCTCGAAGGTACTTCATAAATGCTCTACAAGATTTGTGAACAAAATAGAAGCCCATGGTTTGGAGAATGGCTAAACACATTTATGATGCATAAAAGTAATGGTATATTATTGTGCTATATGAAGTGACAGATGAGGAATACAGAAAAGCCCAGAAGGATCATGTGAACTGATGCACAGCCAAGAAAACAAGACACACGATGACCACAACGCAAATATAAAGAACCACCAAAAACCTGAATGCCAGGAATGCCAACAACAACGAAATCATGGCTTGAAATGACATACTAGGTACACTAATACAGTGCACATATTTAAGACTTTTTTACGTACTGCTCAGTCATGTTTTGAGAGTTATGTTATCTCCTCTTGCCAGCTGCTCTGCTAGCTGCCATCAGGCTCTTCTAGGATAAGCTCATCATCAGGAAACTCACCTCTGCCCCTTTGACAGGAGGACCAGAGGGCATGGCAAAAAACTCCTCCAGCTACCAACATCATGCCCACCCCTTTCTACCTTTTTAGCTTCCCTTTGTGTATTGTCTTTCCCTATCTAAAGGCAAGCTCCATGAGGGCAGGGCTTGTCTTTGTCCTACTTGTCTCCCTAGTGCTTAACACAGTGCCTGGTACATGATAGGGATTTAACAAATGTATATTGTATTGTATCATATAATGCTGTTTTTTCCTCTTAAAAAATAAAAAGTTATTTTTTTACAAGTGTTTATGGCTCCTAAGTTCCCCACCATCTCTCATTCTATTGCCTCTACAGGCTGGGGAAGAACAGGAAGTCTTCTGACTAAGAAGAAATAACCTGTCCTTTCTCCTTCTTGCTTACCTGGTATCTTGCAAACTATTCCCATTATAGATATACATGCGTTTCACAGTTGCTCCATGAGGAATCTGAAGAGAAGCCAAGCCATGGGCAAAATTAGGCTGCAAATACAAAACACAAATTTCACCAAGTGTTTTGCATCTTTTGAGATTCAGAACCTGTTAACAAAGTTAACAATACCAGCACCACTCCACATAACAGCAAAATCAGAAAATGGATGAAATATAAACTCAGAAATATAAATGATGCTTATCTCTTTTTTAAATTAATTACTTTTTCCCTCAAAAGAAACATTAGAGGCATGTTCCTTTGAGCTAGAGGTTCTCAATTTTTTTGGTCAAGACCCCTTTATAACTCTTAAAAATTACTGAGGATCACAAATAGCTTTTGTTTAGGTGGGTTAAGTCTACTGACACTTACCACATTAAAAATTAAAACTGATAAAATTTTAAAACAAAATTTATTTAAAATTTATTTTAAATAATAATTAAATTATTAATAAGAATTGAAAATTAACTCATTTTAAATAACAATAACTATTATATGTTAACACACATAACATACTTTTATGAAAAATAATTATGTGTTCAAAATTAATGAGAAGAGTGGCATTGCTTTACATATTTTTGGAAGGACTCTCATATTTTCTTCTACATTCAATCACTGTGACACTGTTTTGGTTAAAATATATGAAGAAAATCCAGCTTCACAAAAATATGTAGTTGAGACAGTGAGGTGTACTTTTGACATACTTAGTAAAAAAACCCCCCAAAACATTTTATTTTGAATTTCTTTTCACGAATACATCTATTACTTAAAGCTGACCACATCAATATTACCATTTATTATTCAGGAAATAGCTATCCTTAAGTACTCTTAATGCTTTGGAATCTTTAGGAACCTCATAAGAACATGATATACTTCTCTTCTCTTTCTGTCCTCCCAAGATGAATCTGACAAACCATACCAAAACATTTATTAAGCACCTCCTGGATGCAAGGTCCTGAGCATAAAGGAGACACAGGTAAAGGAGATGTGGTCCCTGAGCTCATAGTGGGGTAGAGGGAGCATACAGACGTTAAAACAAGAACAAAACCAAAAATGCCTAAGAGGAGAACAAACTGCTATGAGATGAGGAAACTGCTTCCATTCAGAGGTGGTGAGAAAAAGAATCAGCAGTATCTCTGAAAAATGACCATCTCCTTTATGGCACAGTATCATAGGACACAGTGCTGAAGGGGTCGTAAGAGTTGACTGAATTCAATGCTAGTTTTCAGGACAGTGCTACTGTTTAAAGTAAGATAAATAAAAAAGTATTAACATGCATCCCTGAGCAAATGATTAATAATAGAAAATTTAAAGGCAAAGAGATGAAAAAGAAGTCTTTAGCAGGATATTTATTCATTAAATTCTCTGAAGTCATGTGCTGTCTATATACTCCTAACAATTTTAGCAACATTAGAAACACAGAATTCCTGACCTCATATTTTGGAGCCTCAGTCCACGAGTCTAATTGAAAAGAGAAAGATAATCCTCTGAAGTTGAGGTGGAAGAGTTGTTCAGCCGAGTTGTACACTGGAAAAGAAGGGAGTTCCATGTGAATGCAGAAGCCAGTCTGGCTACAATTTCCAATCTCAGACTAACAGGGGCTGGGCACTGGGGAGGATAACTATCAGCAATGGCAGCAGGACTAGCTTCCTGGATCTGGCATCGTGGCCCTGGGCCAATCCCTCCAGCTCTCTGAGTCCTGGGCATACTACTTCTTCCTGTACTTCGCAGGGATGCTAGAAGGATCAAATGAGAACTTTGAGTGTGTTATCAACTGAAACGCCTGATAGAAATATAATCGTGTTACATTTTTTCCCCTCGAGGTTTACCGAGGAGGCTTAAAAGCACAGGAGAGGGTTTTTAAAGTACTGCCAAACTCTGAATTGTAATAAAACAACTGCTATGTTCACTGCCATGAGTTGTCACTATCTAGCGAACCGTTTGCTCGGCACTGCTTACCTCCTGGATGAGTTGCTCCAAAGGACTGATCAATCTGTTCAATGGTTGGAGCTATTGCCTGAGAGTTAAAATGGACACCACTGAAAAACAAAAAAGGCCCTTTTCAACAGTTACGAAACCTCACAGTTCATGAGTTATCATGACTGCAAAACGTAATTGAAAAACCAAAACCAAAACAACCCGCAGATGCCAGTTCAGAACTGAGTTCAAATATTAACGTAAGCCACTTACAAAAACTATTTTTGTTGTAGTTCAAACATGAGTTCCTTGGTGTAAAGAACTCTTTGATGTGGAAATTCCTCTTACATGATACACAGGTAACAGAGAGAGAGAGCTGCCTGGGAGCACAGAGAGGGTAAGTGATTTGCCCAAAGTCACGCAGCCAGTAGGTATCAGAGGTAGGACTCGAACCCAGATCTTCCCAATTCCAAGGTCTAGCCTCTAGTCACAGTGACACATGGCCCCTTACCCAAGATTTTTAAGCATAAGAAAACAAAGATTGTATTTACAGGCTATCCTTCAGGAGTTCCTGTAATACGTTATACATCACTACTCATCAGAATGAGGGATAAGTTGGTCTCAGTCCAATGGAATTTCAAATAGGACGACACAGGGACGTGGAGAAAGGTTGCTTCAGGTAGGTCAGGAGAGCTGGTTCTCCTTGTGTGAAAAGCCTGCACTACTCCAGTAAGAGGGGGGAGAATTTTAAAAAGGGGAATGTATCAATAGGGCAGGTACTGGAACGGTCCACTAGGAATAAACTTGGGGACAAAAAGGGTGGGGAGAGAGAACTTTGAGGAAGCGAATCTGTGAGAAGGAAAATGCTTATGAAGTGACAGTGAAGGGCTCTTAGGGCCTGGAGGAGAAGTGAGATCTTTGAACAGAGAGGGGAAGGGAGGGAAAAGGGAGGAAAGAACTCTATACTAGCCCAGGCAGCAGGAAAATGAGAACAGGAAGGCCAACATTTCAGTAAACTATCTGGAACTCTGCACTTCTCTGATTTATCTCTGAAGATTAGATTCTTAAGAGACAGACTCTGTCTTACAAAGCACAGCCCATATTTGAGAAAACATAATTATACTAAATGATAAACATTAGTCCCTGGTCTGACCTAGAAACACGTGCAGATCCTCAGCAAGTCCAGGTGAAGGCGTGTGAATACCCACAGAGATCTTCCTGTACCATAGGGACAATGAACACTATTAACTGTAAAGAAATGTGTGCTGCTGGAGACAATCAATCCTGGGGTGGCTGTTCAGTGTACTAAATGGCTCAGAAAACTGTTTCAGGGGATTGACCACGGGCCTGAGGACCCTGGGTTGTGGCAGATGACAAGAAACAGTCCCAGCCCATACAAATCCTACAGATGTGACAGGCCTCACTGCTCTGGGGAGAAAAGGAGTGCTGACACAACTATTGAACAAAAGGAAAGCAGATATCCAGAATCAGCTTGTCATGAGAATGATCCACCAGTTCTAAATAAGACTTACCAATATTTTAACTTCACTTTAGTCAAGTCATAAACTTCAATTACCTAAAAGACAACACATTGAACATTTAAGAAAAACGGTTGAAAGCATAACAGTATGATTAGATTTTTTTTAAATCTCCTAAAAGATTTCTAGAATAAACACTCGTCAAGATCCACAATTGACAAATATTCTCTTTAAGAAAGAGTTTTGTGTAAATTAAGACCTTCTGTCTCAATCTGAAAGAGGGAAAATTCATACTCCAATGATCATGATAATCCAGATGTTCAAATCCAACTTCTACTGGACTATCCAAATATATACCCTCCATGTAATGGCTTAGTTTCTTTATAGTTATTCCAAAGTTTGGTTCCTAGACAGAGAGCTTTTGTAGACTCACTCAAATCTAAAACACCCTTTTCCTTCAACAACAATTAGAGCCCAGACCTGTGATTTCATTGAATAAATGAAAAAGCACTTACCAGGTGCTTACCATGTGCAAAGCACTGTGTTAAAAAGCCCTAGGATACAAACAGAAAAGGGGGTCCCTGCTCTCAAGGAGCTCATCTTCTCATCAGAAGCAGCAACACATGGAGTTGGTTTTAGCTGCAAATCAGATGGAAAGGTCCCATGGTCCTTAGGGTAAGCGGCAAAGCAGTAACACATGTTTAATTCCCAGATAAAACCATCCATTTCTGATGAAAAGCCACTTGACTGTGCCAACTACTTTGGCGGTGAAGACTTGATTTTCCAGATTCTTCAAGCATTGTGCTCGCTGAACTTGTATAAGCTGTTGCCAGGAAGCAACTCCTAACTGAACAAACTCCCTCCACCCCTGCAGGTCAGCACCTTCCCTGCACCTTTGGTCAAGAGCACTGAGGGAAAGTGCCCTGTCCAGGATGACCCAGGCAGTATGTGTCAGGGGCTGGACTTCCACCTAGATCTATCTGCTTGTTTCTAAGGCTAGTTCTTTATCCACTACACCCTTCTGCCTTTCAGTAGAAGAAAATGAAATTAAGCCGGCCAGCTAAATAAAATCCTCTCAAATCTCTATCTTAGAAAATATTTCCTCTTCACTTCTGCAGCTGGGCTATACTGCTATAACTGAGGACCTTGATGAGCTATTAAAATCCAGATTATACTGAGTGGAAAAATCATTCCAAAACATCCTGCTTTAAATAACAGGTTTGTTCTACTAGGAAATGGGCCACATTACATTAGTAATGGAAGGGTTTTACTTATGTATGTGCCTACAGTTCTCTTGCAACCTACATTAATGGCATAGTCTAACCAAAACGGGAATTTTGGTAGGTGTTTCAAGCCTAAAGAAACTAGAGCTGTGCTCTTAGTGTAATTATCCTTATGGAGGTACACAATCCTGAATTCAGATATCTTAGTAATGATCATACTCAGCAACCATTTGCTGAGTGCCTACTGTGTGCTAAGCACCTACTGTGTGCTAAGCACTAGGGTGATATAAAATCCAGAAAAGATAACCCTTGCCTTTAAGGAGTTTACATAAAGGAACCAGAGTGACACAAAACAAAGTCTTGACTACAGGACAAAGCTACATAGCTGATCTACTCAGATAAATGATGGATTTGTTTAATTCAAACAAATATTTGTTAAGCTTTTGCTATGTGCAAGGGGCTGCCCTAGGTGATGCCCTAGGGACACAAAGACAAAAACTAAGACCATGTTTGCCTTTGAAGGGCTTACCTTTGACTAGATTACAGAATCCACAGGCCTTTACTAGCTGAGCATGCAAGGGTAAACTCAAGGACAGTAGTTTCCTCACACTTTACAAAAGCTAACACCGTCTGCCATTTATAGTTGACAAAATAGAGTGTTTATTGTCACTCCTATTAAAAATCAGGTGTCATCGTCTAACATAACATTTCTGTGGGAAAGTTGGATTTATAGTACACTATTTTGATGTGAACCCCCTTTCCTGGAATGTACTTGGCAGTTGTTTTAAGGATAACCCGTACTATGAGCTGGTGATAAACTTGCCCTTTGAACTATTGTCCTTGGGCTATTCCACAATAAAGTCTATGTCTGGTAGGATCTCTGGCTGGAGTCATGTAAACAGCTGAAAAGATCAGGAGATAGAGGGTGTTGTGAACCACTGATTTTGGAATAAAAAAACCTGGTTTCACAACCTGATTCTTGACCCATACTATCTATGTATCTTTAGACAAGTCACTATCTCTGAGTTTCAGTTTTTCTGTTTGTAAAATAAGAGAATTGGACTCCCTTAAGACTAAGAACTTTCAGTTCTAATATTCTATGACTCCAGATGAACTGTGTCAGAGAGACTCCAGGACAGATTAACTACGAGGCTGGAGCTAAAGTTGTATACTAGAACATGTCAGGAAGCAGGGGTCCTACTGGCTGATATAAGTGCTCTAAGGAGTATAAACAACAAGATACGATAAATATAAATCATTAAATTAGATACAGTCTGCATTAAGTGCCTGATTGGTCTCAGTAACAACACACAAAATGGTTCTCCACGTTTGAAGATGATCCTGTTGATACTGCCTAAATGTTTGCCTTTGGTTAAAAAGGCCTTCCCATGACGAACCAACAAATGATGAACCAGTCTGTAGGTTCATTCATTTATTCAACAGCTAATTACTTAAGCCTACTATGTATGCTGTTCACAGAAGCTGCCCATGGCATTGCCTCTCCAGGGTGTTTCATCTCAGACTGCTGAATCCCAGCCTTCAACAGCATTCCACGGTCATGGCCTACATCATTTGAAACCGAGTATGAGTCGGGCCATAAAATTTATCTTGCCCTATCACTCCACTGTAGCAGCTTCTCACCTAACATGTGTCTAGGAATTAAAGGAGTTGTGTTAGCACCCTATCATTAAGGATTTTCTCCTGCCATGGCTACTGTATAGGTGAACTAGCTAAAGAAGCACTAGCAGAGAAGACATCTTTGTTACCTGGAAAACTGGTCACTTTTATGGCTTCATAAAGGTGACAGGATAAAGTAGGAAAGAGCTAGTCTTAGCGTCAGAAGAGTTCAACTATCAATTCCAACACAATCAATCAACAGAGCATTTCTTAAGAACCTATCCTGTTCCAGGCACTAAGTTAGGTGCTAGCGATACAAGTTCAAAGAATGAAATCATCCCTGCTCATAAGGAGTTTACATTCTTTTTTTTTTAACATTTAATTTTTATTTTTTAATACATGTAAATAAACATTTTTAACAATCATTTGAAAAAATCTGAGTTCCATATTCTCTCCTTCCTCTCTTACCCCTCCTTGAGAAGACAATTTGATATAGATTACATATGTGCAGTCATACAAAATACTACCATATTAGCCATGTCACAAAAGAAAATGCAGACCAAAAAACCAATAATAAAGTAAAAAAGTATGCTTCAATCTGCATTCAGAGAAGTTTACATTCTAATGGAAGACAAGTACATAAAAATATAAACAGCATAAATACAAATACACACAAAACAATTAACTACGAGGAAGCAGTCTAGGAGGGAAGGAAGATCAGGAAAGGCTCCACATAGAAGGTAGTGCTTGAGTCTTGAAGAAAGAGAATGATTCTGTGAGACAGAGATGAGGAGGGAGTGTATTCCAGGCACGAGGCACAGAGACTGGATATGTATGCACTGTCATATATAAAGAACAGAGAGGTTAGTTTGGCTGGATTGCAGAGTGTGGAAGGAGAGCAATGTCCAATAAGACTGGAAAGGCAGACTGCAGCCAGACTGTGCAGGGCTTTAAAAGCTAAACAGTGACTTCCATTTAACCTTAGAGGCAATACAAAGTCCTTGTAGTTGACAGAAGAGAAATCATACACTAAGATTTGCTTTTAAGGAAAATTACTTTGGCAGCAGTGTATAGGCTGGACTAGAATGATAAGAGGTTTGAGGCAGGGAGACCAATTAGAAAGTTGTTGTAACAATCTAGGCTAGAAGTAATGAGGGCTTGAACTAAGGTGGTAGCTAGCTGGGTGAGTTGAGGAGTCAGATGAGAGACTGTGGAAGTAGAAATAACAGGATATGGCAATGTATTGGAAATGTGAGATAAGGGAAAGTGAGTCCAGGATAATGCTGAGATTATCAACGTGGAAGACGGATGGAGAATGGTTACACAGGTAGGAGAACAGATGAGAAAGCCATAAGGAAAGCCCAGAGAATAGAGAGTATTCAGGAGGAGAGGGTAGTCAAGTGGGTCAAATGAAGTAGACAGATTGAGAAGGATGAGGATTGAGGTTTAGCAGTTAAGAGATTATTGGTAACTTCAGAGAGGAGTTTTAGTTGAGTGATAACGCAGGAAGCCAGATGGCAAAAGTGGGGGCAATGAGTGCAGAAATCTCTTTTTAAGGGCTGTGGTTGAGAAAGGGTAGAGAGATAGGGGACAGTAGCTTGAGGGGAGTTAAGGGACTGAGAAAGATTTTTAAGGATTGGAGAGATTTGACTATATTTGATTGTTCTAGGAAAGTAATCAGCAGGTAAGAGCAAAAGGGAAGAAAAGGGATTTCATGCCAAATGGCCTCAACTTTCTTGGTAAGGTAAGAGTCAAGATCCTGAGCCAAGAGAGAGGTGGGGAAGGAAGAAGTGTGGGTAGCTTGGGAAGGGAACAGAAGTTTTGGAATAGTTTCTGTGGGGAGAGAGAATCAATTACAGAGGAATAAAAGGACTGCCTCTTGGCCCCAAGAACCCAGCAGAGAAGAGATAACATGAATTTGCAATGCACCCAATTAGCACGGCCTATAACGCTTCCTCTGGCCAAGTTTAGAAGATTGTGGGTAAAAAGCAGAGGAGACAGATGGCTGGAGTAATCCACAGTAGAGATTTTGCAAGAAAGGAGTAGCATATGGACAGTGTAGAGCTGAAATAGCTAACTCCTGGGTTGACACTGGAGAGATAGGAAAGTGAAGTGAAAGCAGGAGCAATGACCTGAGAGGTAGAGGAAATGGAGGTATCAACGAAGGCAAAGAATAGGTAGAATGATAAGAAGTTATGGTTAAGTTGTACAATGTCAGAATTTCCAAGTGGGGGGAGTGGAACACTTGAGGGGGATGG